AACTAATCCAACCAACAATTCAATTAATCAATACCAATAACTCAATAAGCATACAAATTATTCAATAAATAAAAATTCAATTCAACTAAACATATGAATAAGAATAATTGTATACATTATGGAATAATTCAATTAATTAATTAAGAATCAAGAATTCAAATTTTAATTTTCACCCTAAAAAATAATTTCATATCAATAATCATAGAATCATATCAATAATCAATAATCAATAACCAATAACCATATTATTAGTGCATTACCATATGATTTTATACGAATTAAAACTCATTTGTATTAAATAATTAATTAGGGTTAGGGATTATAAATTTAGGAATTAAAAAATTTACCTAAAGAATGGCTTTAATGCTGCAAGCCGCGGCTGGAGATTGACTGGAGTGGCTGGCTGCGGCTGGTTTTCCGTCCATTGGCTGCCAAATTGTTGCGCAACTGCTGGGAATTTGGGGGCAAGCTTTGTTCTCTGATTGACAAGGGCAAAGTTGAAAAAGAAAAGGGGGATAAGCACGGGTCTGAGGAGAGAAGAGGGACACGCGGTCCCTCCATATTTTTTTTCTTTTTCAAACTTATCAAAACGACGCCGTTTGGTTTTTTTTTATTTTTTAACCAGGTCTAAAACAACGTCGTTTTGGCCTAAACCAGCCCTTCAGGATGGGCTAAACCAGTTGAGTTTCCGACAAGATGATGGGCTAAACCAGCCCTTCAGGCTTATTTTTCCGGCGATGGCAGTGGCGGCAACCACTCATCGCCCCCACGTGGCTTCACCACTGGTGACAGGAACACAAGTGGTACACCACGTGTTTCAATAAAAGTGATGGGAGATTTTATTTTTTAAGTTATTAACTTTTTAGCACACATATCCCATCATTTGTGTCACATCCCGACCCGGACTCGACTCCGCTGTAGCACGATATTGTCTACTTTGGGCCTCGACCACGCCCTCACGGTTTTGTTTCTAGGAACTCACGCGAGTAGAATTTCCCAGTGGGTCACCCATACTAGGATGTTCTGGCCCATTCTCGCTTAATTTCAGAGTTCCTATGGAACCCTAAGCCAGTGAGCTCCCAAAAAGCCTCATGTTATATGAAGCTAAACATGTACATATAAGACATAGAGGATCCACTCCCTGGGCGATGTGGGATCTCACAATCCACCCCCTTAGGGGCCCGACGTCCTCATTAGCACACTTCCGGCCAAGGATTGGCTCTGATACCAAATCGTCACATCCTGTCCTGGGCTTCACTACATCCTGGGATCGACTTCTCTGTAGCACAATATTGTCCGCTTTGGGCTTTGACCACGCCCTCACAGTTTTGTTTTTGGGAACTCACATTAGCAGAATTTCCTAGTGGGTCACCCATCTTGGGATGCTCAAGCCCATTCTCGCTTAACTTCGGAGTTCCTACGAAACCCAAAGCCAGTGAACTCCCAAAAGACCTTGTTCTATATGGAGGTGGACATGTACATATAAGGCATAGAGGATCCACTCCCCTGGGCAATATGGGATCTTATATCGATCAACGGAGAGGGGGTGATGTGCCTTATATGTACATGCCCACCTCCATATAGCACGAGACCTTTTAGGAACTCACTGGCTTCAGATTCTATTGGAACTCCGAAGTTAAGCGAGTTTAGGTGATAGCATTCCCAGGATAGAAGACCCACTGGGAAGTTCTCATGTGAGTTCTCAGAAACAAAATCGTGACGACATGGTTGGGGCCCAAAGCGGACAAATCGTGCTACAGCGGAGCCGGTCTGGGATGTGACAGAATGGTATCAGAGCCACTTTGCCGTGTGGTGCGAGTGTGCTGACGAGGACGTCGAGCCCCTAAAGGGGGTGGATTGTAACATCCCACATCGACCAACAGAAAGGGGGTGATGTGCCTTATATGTACATGCCCACCTCCATATAGCACAAGGCCTTTTGGGAACTCACTGGCTTCGGATTCTATTGGAACTCTGAAGTTAAGCGAGTTCGGGTGAGAGCACTCCCAGGATGGGTGATCCACTGGGAAGTTCTCGTGTGAGTTCCCAGAACAAAATCGTGAAGGCGTGGTCGAAGCCCAAAGCGGACAATATTGTGTTACGACGGAGCCGGTCTGGGATGTGACATGACACGTGGTGTACCACCTCGTGTACTGATCACACTGAAAAATTTCTCGTCATGATGTCCCAAATAGGAGAATTTTTTTTTTGTGATTAGAATACGGGTGGTATACCACGTGTTTTTATGTAAGTTGTGAGAAATTTTATTTTTTAAGTTCTTAACTTTTTAACACACATATGCCACTATTTATAGAGTGACACGTAATGTATCATCCCATGTTTGGTCACATTGAAAAATCTCTCCTGGAGTGCCGTGCATCTTTCTTTCTCATGTCGTTATTCTATTTAAAAAGTCTTGTCTGGTTTGGCCTGTAATTGTTGTTACTATAGCATTATTGGATTCGTGGAGTTCGATATCCCAAATAGAACTCTCAGTTTAGCTAAGTAATATGGATGAACCAAATCACTCAAAGACTAGTCACTTCCACAATTTTGTTCAAACATGTTGGACATCAATCTTCCCTCCCTTCTCTGTATTTTTTTCTAATTTTCATTCATCAGTAATTTTTAGGCTCATGAATCTAGAACTAAAATAGATATATATTGTTCCAATGAGCAAAAACAAAATCAAAACATTTTTCTCTCGCTTCTAAGACCCACTACTAAGAGAGGGAAGATAAAGTTTACTTATTAGGTTTACTTTTTTTCATTATGTCGCCATTTTGTTGTCAATAAATGCCTACCGAGAAGAAGAACGCATTGAAATTGATTGTGTTAAATTGAAGTTATTATGAACTGTGAAATTGTAAAGAATTCTTCATTTTACTCCGAGACCTTTATTTTTAACTCATCGAAACTCAAAAAACTAGGAGATCAATCAGAAGGGTATGGAATTCATCTTCGGTTTGGTAGGCGATGGCTTTGCCGTCATGGCAACGGACACGTTGCCCGTGCACGGCATACAGAATCATGGTGCTCTCCCACAAGCTTATTGAAGCCAGCGCGTGCCTGGCGACAGGGTTCAGTTCAAGGAGTACATACAGAATAACGTGGCTTTGTATCAGTTCCGTAATGGGATCCCATTGACCACCGGTGCTGCTGCGTGCTGCTGCCAATTTCACGTGGCAAGCTCGCCACTGCCCTGCGAAAGAACCCATGCATGGTGAACATCTTGATGGCTGGTTTCGAAAAGGAGGCGGGGGCAACCCTTTACTACGTCGACTACATTGCCTCACTTCACAAGGTTGAGAAGGGAGCGTTGGGTCATATAAATTTTGCACCCTCATTAATGGATGGGCACTACCACAGTGGCATGCCTGTGGAGAAAGCAATTGACTCGATCGACAAGTGCATTGTTTAAGGTCCGGTCACAGCTGGTGGTTGCTCTGCCAAACTTTGTCATCAAGATAGTTGACAAGGATGGGGCGAGGGAGCAGAGGCGGACCGACTTAGGGGCAAGGGGGTCAGCTGACCCTTCAACTGCTTTATAAAATGCGTTAGAAATGTGTTGCATCTTTACAGTCTAGTCCTCATATTATTTACCTTTGGCTTGTTTGTTGGTTGTGATTACAATTGCAGGCAGAAAAAATGAACCAAGTAAAAAACTATCCAGAAATGCAAAGTAAATGAAATAATGATCTCAGATAATAACAAAACATCATCATTCTTGGACAAACATATTAATGAGATGCAATGATATTAAACATTGTTAGTGTGTTTAAGATAAGTGTGTTTCTTTGTTAAGCATTCATATGGGAGCAATCTTGGAATATGTTAGTTACCCACGCAAATGAGGCATTAACAAGTGTGCAGTATGCATTTCCAAATGACTTCAGGCCTACTCGATGAAATGACAATATGCATGCTATTTCAGTTAAAAAAAATTTGCACTCTGCGCACACTATTCTTACTAACCCCCTTAATATTATTTCCTGAATCCACTACCGACAGAGAGTATGCGTGGCGGGAATCCATTAGGGATGCCGGTGTTGTTACTGGTGCTGCATGCTTTAGTAATTAATTAATTTTATGTAATACTGGATTATTCATTTTATAAGTGGACACTGTTTCTGAAAAAAAAAACAAACAGAGAGAAAATAAAATGTTGTTTTGGTGCGTTCCAGTTGTTTTATACGAAAGGGGCCAAGAACTAGTGGCACTAGCTATCCGACTTCCAACTAGAGGTCGCCTCGTTTATTTGATACGGTAAATAGTGTGGGGTACGTGAAGGACACAAAAGCAAAAGCAATGGGACTAGTGGACGACCCCGGACAAGTCCTTATTAATGATCCAAAACACTTTACTGTTATTTTATACTAATTTATACTAAGCAAGCTGAGGAAGAGTGTGAACCCTAGAAACTTCACATTATGACCATTAGGTCATTTGAAATGTATGTAAACCCTAGCATTCTCACATTACGACCATGTAATATATAAACATTGCATCCAACATGTGATAAATTGGTTATGTTCTTTTTTCACTTCTCACGCGAATGTCTAGCTACTTCTAGTTCTTTTTTCTTTAACTGATTGACTAAATAAAATAAGTATTATTAGTTGGTTTTAAAAAAACATATACCTTAGCATATCCTCACATTGTGACTGTGGTATGTAGACTTTCGGGTCGAACGTGTGGTAATTGGCCATCTTCCTTTCTCGCTCGTCAAGCGATTATCTCGTTCTGATTATCTATTTGTGACACATTTACCTTTAACTTTCAGATTCAATTGACCCTTTTCGTTTGCTAAATGTCGTTATCTTATTTCTTCAAAGAGTGAAGCTAGTACAAGCCGCTAAAATTGAAAATATAGGAAAAATCTAAACCTAAAGATCACCACATATTAAAATAGCAGCATAAACTAAATCAAGCAGCATCTCTCTACTCACAAACTACCGATTTTAATTAATGTTCTGTTCTCTCATCGATCCAGAAAAAAATACAGATAAGGAGCAGATAATTCAATCAAAGTGGGATTCATAAATATCATGGAATATAATAACAAATATTCTTCCACCTAAATAAGTGCGAAAAGCCTGAAACCTCCATCTCTTCTTCGATCGATACAATCAACCCCAATGATTTCAATCAAGTTAATATTAAGCACGGAAAGAGGGGGGGAAAAAAACTAAATTTACCAAATTTAGAAAGCAATGAGAGCTCCAAGAACCAAAAGCGAAATGGAAAACAAACCCATGTTTCCTCCAATCCCAGTCCTCAAAGACCCACTACCGCCGCCAGTGGTGTTAGTGGTGGAGCCACCGCCCGTGGTGGTGTTGGTAGTGGAATTAGCTACCAAGGGCAAGGTCTCATAGGACCTGAGATTGGCGGGGGAGAAGTCATGCTTTTCAGGGAAACCGGTGGTGGTGTTGACTCCGGGGCCCACCTGCCAGACGTGGTTGACGGACACCGCGTCTTTTTTGACCTTGACGGTGGCGAAGATCATGAAGGTGCCGCTGGAGAACTCGGCGCTGACGTCCCAGACGTCGAACGAGAGCTTTCCGGGAATGATGGAGGCGTAGGAGCTGATGTTGTAGGTTGTGACGGTCGGGGTGCCGTTAGCAGTTAGGTGGGCCAGTAGGGCCTGGGACCCGGCCATTCTTTCGGCTGTGGGGTTGATGGCCCAGGCGACCCAGCCGTCGGTCTTGGCGGGGGCGGCGACGAAGGCAATGGAGAGGGAGGAGTTGGAGCGGTCGTACGTCCAGTGGAGGTAGGAGCTGAGGACGGGGAGGTCGGAGCAGTTGGAGTATAACTTGTTTTTGAATGTCTGTGAGTTGCAGGTGGCTGCTTGTACGGCCGGCGAGATTAGCAGAGCCAATAGGAGGGAAATGCATGAAATCTGGAGGAGAGAGAGAGGGAGAGAGGAAGCCATTGGAGAGAGATGAGGGCTTTGTGGAAAGAAAGAAAAAAGAGGGAGAGAGAGTGTGATTGTGTGTGTGCTATGCCGAATGCAAAGCTTGTGGGGATTTATATTGGTAAAAGATTGTTAGAAGTGCATCCGATACATCACGTGACATACTGAAGATATGCATACAAGATTATTTATCTTTGTATTTGAGGGGAAGATACTAGTGGAGTGAGATGTGGGGTGTGGCGTACTTCGGTAGGGTGCTTCGAACTAATTCACTTGTATATATTGACTTTGATTCCAAGATTATTGACCTTGAGATAATAAAATCTTGTGTAATCTAAACAGGACACAACTGGTGATAGATAAGTTTTTACTAAAGAGAAATATTATTTATATCATGTTTTTGTACTACATTTTCATATCACCTTAGGTGACATTTGATGTGGATAGCCACATCATTTGAATTAATCAGATTTTTAAATTTAGTTCATTATTTAATAAACTAATAATTAAGAAAAACTAGTTAATTAAATGATGATTGTGGTATACGAGGAATCTTTCTCCTTCATTTTCTTGGGTTTTGCAAAATTTTCAAATGATGTGACTGTCCACATCAAATGCCACCTAAAATGATATGGAAATGTGGTATAAAAATATGGTATGAATAACATTACTCTTTGCTAAATGATGATTAAAATTTGAAATTGAAAATAAAAAAATGTGAGTAGCACGTGGGCAACTTGGACCATGCAAAGGGTGCCGTTAGATGGCCGCTAACCGTGGAGCTGTGAGTGAATGTGAACTGCACATATGGTCCTCTTTTTCTTTTAGGTTGGTGAATGGGGATTGGAGAATTTGTGAAATGAACGACTTTACTGAGTCTTCTCGCTTTGTTTCCACTTTGTGCTTTACATCCATGAAGACAAAAAAGAAGGCTTGGAATTGGAATTTGATTCCTTTCCCTTTGTGAAATTTTCACTGGCCACACATCGCTGGAGGTTTTCTGAGAAAAGGGGTGGCACGGTCGGATTCGGTATGGTTTTGGAGTGAAATAGAAATTTATTTTGGTTTAAATCGATGCTGTTTTGAAGTTTGAATCGAAATGAAACTAAACCATTTGATTTTGATTCGGTTCGTTTGAAACGTTTTGGTTTCATTTATGCCTCGCTTGTAGGCCTGTTAAAAATGTGGCACTAATACAAGTATTCAACATTCAAATAAACTCAAAAGTTTAAAACCTAACATTTGCAAACTAAATGCTTTATAATACAACTATTCGACTGTGTAAATTAGAAGTTTGAGATTGCCTTAGAGCTTATTGTTGCGGTTGTGGATTAATAAGAAGAGATGCGATGCTTGAATTGAATTGACAATACGAAGAGGAAGGATTCACGATTTGTAGTGGATTAATAAAAAGAGATGCGATGCTTGAATTGAATTGACAATATGAAGAGGAAGGATTCACAATTTGTAGTGTGAAAATCATGTCAACAGAGTGTAAAAGTCAAAGAGGAGACTCGATGTTAGTATGTTACAATTTAGCAAATGCCATTCTATGGTGTGATGTATGGACTCAACCAAATAATCAAATAACCAATTAGAACTCAACACCTAATATTGGGCATTAACTTAAATATGTTCTTAATTTATGCAGTGCAGTTTGATTTCAGTTCAGTCCAAGAAGTTCCAAACCAAAATAAAACATTTTTTTAGCTTACGGTTCGTTTTCAAACCAAAACCATTTCAAAATCACAAAAATAGAACCATTCGGTGTGGTCAATTTAATTCATGTTTCAATTTCGATTTTCAGTTAAAAGTGCCTACCCCTATGTCACAGTCCCAACTCCTAAAGAATGGAATGGAATGAACAAATGTTGTGGCAAATAATTATGATATGTCCTAAGTTTAAAATTTATTATAGAAATCGAAGCTTTTCTCAAGCGATTCTTACTTATGTGTTATATGCTCTTGCCTTTTTGTTCTTTAAATTGTTGAAAATGTGACATCATACGGATTATTCCGATGAATGTCATTTACGTGCTGAGCTTTCATTTTTTTTTTTTTAAGAAAGTGCAATATTCTGTTAATTAAATAAAAGGAAAACTAACGAAAAGTAAAAAAAAAAAATTTAATGAAAAAATACAAATAAATGGTCAATGAATAGTACCAAGGAATGGTAAAAATATGAATTTTCGTTAAAAATGAACAGTATTGAAAGTGTTTCATTAAAACTCTCTTAAATAAAAGCATTATAAATACATATTATGAATAACTCAACTTCAAAAGAGTCATTTCAAACCAAATCTAAAATTATTATAATAAAACATCACCAGTCACAAAACAATGAGTAGACATTATGTTTTATATTTTCATTTTTTTTCTTCTGAAAGTGAGAGTAATCATTTATCTCAAACGAATAGTTTTAGAGCTTATTTGGAAGTGATTTTAAAATGGCTGAGCCTTCGATAAAAGTACATTTGAAATCAATTCTTAGTAAAAATGTAAGTAAATCTTGAAAGACACCTAAAGTGCACTATGGAAGAAGCACATAATTGGTGTTTATTGTAGAAAACACTTATGTAGTTTTAGAATCTAAAAATATTTTCTCTAAAAACGGGTTCAGTTTTTTGTACTTGATATATATTCCGATCTATTGGTGTTGAATTGACTAATACCAAATGCATAATGCTAGGGAGACTATAGACAACATTTGGCAAATTAAATAACATGAAAGTTGATGATTGAATTATAATTTAAGTGTTGGTAAACGTACTTATTTATATTAATGATATTTTATTTAGTTTGTAAATTTTATCTCTCTATCATTACTCTAATAAAAAATATCACATTCAAATAACTTACCCAAGTTTGGTACGCGTATTCCAAAACTAGCCTTACACCACGTGTATCTCAAGTCGTGTATTTTATTTTCACCTACTCCCACTATCGCTTGTATTGACGCCGACAAAGGCGAGTAGTTAGGGTCTCCTAGCCTTTTTAATATGTTTTTTAACTTGATTTCTGCATTTTCAACTGTTTTTGTTCCGACTCTTCTTTTTGTTCGGTTCAAATAAACAGAGTAGAATTTTTTTCTTTTTTTTTATTTCTCTCTTATTTGAACGATCAAGGTTTAGTTATGTTAATATCTTATATTAATTTTTTATATAAAAAAACAAAATAGAAAATATAAGAGAAGATGATGGAAATAAATGAAAAGAGAAGACGAAAGAATTCTAATTCCAAATAAACTATCTTCCTTTTTGTCCAGAAAAACTATCTTCCTTAATTTCTTCAATTTTTTTTTTAAAAAATTCAAGTAATTTAGTACGTTATGGTCAAAACAACAGTAATTAAGTTACTAAAACTAGCCTGCGCGGCAGGCCAAGAAGCTTCTGTTTTAATTTTATGATATGACTTTGCACGTTTTTAAGGAAAGGCCAAGTCAAAGCAGATTATATTACGATCATATGTTTAGCCGTTAAATGCTCCACCAACAGTACAAGATAGTCTAACATGTTATTTTACATATACAAATTTAAGTCATATAATACGTAAATTCGTATTTGAGTATGTAGTTTAATAATTTGTTAAAAAATTGTGAAGATTGTATCTTTATGAGATTTAAACTTAAAATACCTGGTAAACCTAATAATTAAGTGCATTATTCGAATTTATTTTACTCTCTAAACAATTAGAATCGATTTTGTAAACAATACAACATCGAATTAATGCTAGGATCCTAGCTAGAGTACGGACAATAGAAACATAATCAAAGTTTATGAAGAAAACAGAAGAGCAAGAAGACAGCATACGAAAGCCCAGGTAGCATACTTAATTCATGCATATATTCGAGGAGGAGACATTTTCCGGGATTACGGTGTTTAACACTTAATTAACAAACACATCACCTTCAATGCTCTTAAAGACCCACAACAGCCACTTTGATTAGAACTAATGATGTTGACACACTAACCCCTAAACACATTTCGAATGTCGACACAAGCATGCTATCCAATTGAAACATCGTGACCAAGATTGAGAATTTCATCATGAAGAAAAATGGTGGAGGCCCGTTGAACTGTGGTTTCATACAATATTAGTAAAGTTCATAATGTGATGGTTCATTACAGTATTATCGGTTAATTATAATTTTTTACAACAAAATACTATAGTACGAAAAATACTTGTCATTTATATGTAAGTACTCATTCCTCATTGTATAGTGTCACAGTTTGACATGTGCAGTTGCATGTAAGAAAGAACCGCGTTCCACTAATACTTCATAGCCCATCATTGAGAGTGTTGAGAATGCGTAGAGTGTATAAAACAGATCCAAACGTGAATGGTTCCCATCAGCTCCTCCAAGCCACTCTTTACCAAATTTTCCACTCACTGAATTTGCTATGGACACCAGAAATGAGCTTAAAAAGAACCCCATTGATGTTGAGCACCATGGCAACGAAGTGGACATGCTTCTCATGCTATCCGGTGCTTCCGAGTAAAAGAACTCAAGCATTCCTCCAAGGATGAGGATGTCTGAGACTCCAAGGATGAGGTATTGCCAGCCAAGCCAGAAGAAAGACAATGTGGCATTTTTATGAGCTGCCTCGCGTCTCTTACCTTCGACTAGGGCAGCTACGGCCATTGATGCAGATGCTAGTGCCAGCCCTAGCCCAATCCTCCAAAGTGGTTGGAAGGTGTGACTTTTTGCTGGGCTTTTGGATGCTAAGATTCTTTGGAATCGTTCGTATAAGGGAATAGAAGCAAGCAAAACGGAGAGGGGGAGTATGCCCAATGACTGAACTGGGATTTCGAAATTGTTTATTTTTCGGTTCATTGTGGTCCCTTGTACCACTGAGTATGTCTGAAGTTGGGCTAGGCAGCAATTCATCATGATTGTGCTTGCAAAGATGGGTAGAAGGCCTATAAAAGCTCTTGTTTCCTTAACTTGAGCGGCACTAATTGTGCTATCAATTAATGCTTTGTCTAAAAAATCTGAGAAATTAGAGTGTCTCTTAGACCAAAAGTAAATGAAAAAAAATTGTATGCAGAGTTTAAATACTGGCTCCATTTCTTCCCACTCAAAATTTGATGGGTCACATATTTGTGCTGAAGTGTGACACTATAATTTAATCCCGCTCTAAGTTTAAAGAATCATAGTATATATGTCCATGTTACCATCTCCTAACTAAGAAAAAATTGAGAAGAGGGGAAACAACTTACTTGTTTGTACCATACTTAGGGCCTCCGTATTTAGACCTCGTATAAATACTTAGGGGACTCAAATGTAATTATGTAATAAATGAAGGGGCAAATATGTAATAAGTGAGGAGCCCTTATTCTATAAAAGGACTCCTCACTCTCCTCATTAGATAGGCCAAGATTGAGGGCAAGGCTTAGGCCATAGAAAATGGGCTAGAGAGAAAATAGGCTAGAGAGCACACTGACTCTAGTCTTCTTGTATATTCACCATTCAGAGTGAAACAATATCAACATCAGTATGGACGTAGCCCAAACATTGGGGTGAACCACGATACATCTTGTGTTCTTTACTTTCTTACAGATTCAAGGTCGGATTTAAGTTGTTCCAAGACCTCCCAGTTTTGTGCATCAATATTTGATGCTGTCTGTGGGAATCGACACGAAAATCTATGTCGTTTTTTTTTCATTTTTTCATCTCACCACCGTGAGACCTCACCACACTTCATCGTGAATCTGCATAAACCTAAGAACCTTTTTATGGTCGCCCTTTTCTCTCTCTCAATTTTTTCAACTCTCCCAGTCTCCCTCTTTATGGTCGCCGTCTTCTCTCTCTCTCATTTGGTGTTGAATTCAAAACAAAACAACGACTCTAAAGAGATTTATCCTCAAAGCATATTGTCCACCATTTTCCTCTACAAATACGAACAGTTTACGCTTCAAAGCCGGAACCTTTCGCTTTAGCTTTCTGGGTTTTACCGGAGTTTAACAAGTCCCGGTCACCGAAGATGGCTTCCCAGCGAAAACCCATCACTTGGGCTCTCTTCTTTTTTCTACCTCTTGTTGGTCTTCACCCAATTCATTGTGGCACGCAAAACCCCCAAAATCAAAGGGCCTATCAAAATGGTGGTGGTCGTCGTCATGGAAAACCGCTCATTTGACCATATCTTTGGTTGGCTTAAGTCAACCCGACCCGACATCGACGGCCTGAATGGGAACGAATTGAACCAGATTTTTGTCTCGCAACCTGGCTCCGCTCGAGTCTGCGTCTCAAACGACGCCTTTTTCGTCAACTCTAACCCGGGCCACTCGTTTTAGGCGATTCGGGAACAGATATTCGGGTCGAACGAGAGCTCCGAGAACCCGGCACCGATGAACGAGTTCGCTCAGCAGGCGAAGAGTATAGGCGAGGGGATGGCGAGGATAGTGATGAGCGAGTTCAAGCCGGAAGTCCTCCCAGTCTACATCGGGTTAGCAAATGAGTTCGCCGTGTTCGACCGGTGGTTCGCGTCCGTACCGGCGTCGACTCAACCGAACCGATTCTACTCCTACTCGGCCACGTCACACGGTGCTATGAGCAACGTCCGCGAGGACCTCATCCACAGCTTCCCTCAGAAAACGATCTTCGACTCTCTGGATGAAAATGGCCTCAACTTCGACATTTATTACCAGAACATCCCCGCCACGCTCTGGGAAATGAACGACATGTCTCCAAGAGTGAAGGAAGGGTTGGATGAGAGGCGGCTAAGGAAGATGGAGGCGGGAAATCGTAAAGCCAGAGAGAGGGAGAGGATCCTGAGATCGGCACATTCCGGTTCTCTGCCGCCCCATCTTTCCGATCCGTCTCATAGTCCCGTTTCTGAGTTCTGCACCTAAAGAGAAATGGGCTACAGCAGACTCCAGCTGTCGGACCCTGTAGGCTCCCCAGTCTCTACGTGGCGGAAAACCCATTTATTTTCATACCTATGAGTGGTCCATTATATGCTAACCGCATGCTTGATAGCATTTTCCGGCCAATTCAAGCTCCAACAGCAGGGCAAAAAGCGGTGGAACCTACAGGAGAAAGTTTCCTTTTACGAATGCAACAACTGAGAATGAATAGACGGGTGAAAACTATGTGGGTAAAAATGAACGCTTGCTGAGATCTGGCCAACTGGAGCAAGATCGCGGAGGAAGAAGATGCCCACTTTCTAAGAGTACAGAGGGGTCACTTTTTACAGGAGAACATGCAGGAAATGAAGTGGGAAACAAAAGCAAAAGCAAAGCAGAAAAAACTAAGAAAAAACAGAAAGCAAAAGCAAGGAATAAAGGGAGGAAAAGAATAGAAAAAGGAAAAGGATGAGGCTCACAAAAGGAGCCTGAATACTGATCATAATGTTTGCAACAGTTGATGCCAAAGGGCTTTCCAAATATTTTTATCATTGTGGAATCTTTTATGTATTGGAGCAAGGAGATCAAGAAAAGCAAATGGGTGATGAAAGAAAGGGTTTCACTTTGGCTCAAATCTTCAAGCGCCCTGCCCCCCGCAACAGCCAACTACACATGCTATCCCACTATCCAACTATCTGCCATACCCACATTCTGCAGCAGTTTTTTTGAATCATGTGATTTACTTTTCTTATCTTTTGGAGACATCTGTATAAACCCACCAGAGGGTAATCATAAATAAAGAAAGAAGGCGGCATGCCAAAAAAAAAAAAAACCGGCAAGCCCAAAATAATGGGCTGGAATGTTATGTGGAGGGCGAATGCCCATATGCCAAAAGAGCCAGACCCTCTATTATCACCAGCCAAGTGATCAAAAGTACGTCCAGTACTCCAAAATTATTCGATAGCCTGCCGCTATTATCACCAACTAGGTGATCAAAAGTATGTCCAGTACTCCAAAATTATTCGGCAGCCTGTCGCTATTATCACCAACCAGGTGATCAAAAGTACGTCCATTACTCCAAAATTATTCGACAGTTTGCCGCTATTATCACCAACGAGGTGTTCAAAAGTACGTCCAGTACTCCAAAATTATTCGATAGTCTGCCGCTATTATCACCAAACATGTGATCAAAAGTACGTCCAGTACTCCAAAAATTATTCGGCAGCATGCCGCTAATATCACCAACCAGGTGATCAAAAGTACGTACAGTACTCCAAAATTATACATGAGCATCACTCATGTCAATCATATATAAACATTCATGAGCATCACTCATGTCAATCTTACATAAACATTCATGAGCATCACTCATGTTAATCAGCTTCGAAAGTTTCAGAGCTCCAGCTTCAAAAGCTTCATTTACAAAGCACCAACTTCAAAGGTTCACTTGCAAAGGTTACTTACAAAGCTTCAGTGCAGGGTATACAAAGACCGCCTCCGAACAACCGTCACTTCGACCCATACATGGATTCAATTTGAAGTTTCCAGCCAACAGCCTCTATTGACTGAAGACTTGGGGGACTACACTATGTACCATATATTGGGCTTCCACAATTGGGCCTCATGAAAAATACTTGGGGGACTTAGCCCATTATTTATGTACTGAGGAGCGAACCCTTATTCTATAAAAGGGACTCCCTCACTTTCATTAGAGAACACCCATCACTTATGTATTGAGGAGCGAGCCCTTATTCTATAAAAGGGACTCTCTCACCATCATTAGAGAGCATCACCGCCTGCTGAGCAACCGCCTCGCCGCGAGCATCATTCTTAACCTATCACTTATGTACTGAGGAGCCAGTCCTTATTCTATAAAAGGGACTCCCTCACCATTATTAGAGAGCATAGCCGCCTGTTGAGCAACTGCCTCGCCGCGAGCATCAACTCTAGCCCATCATTTATGTATTGAGGAGTGAGCCCTTATGCTATAAAAGGGACTCCCTCACCTTCAACGCCACAAACTGAGCCAACCAAGGCAACATAAGCCATAAGCCAAGCAGCCTCGCAACATGTGCTACTTCTACTTGAGCATCATTTCACATTGAGGACCACCTCATATCAAGTATCAGTTCTAGACGATATCTAGTTACTTCGGCCCATACATGGACTGAATTTCAAGTCTCCAGCCAAAAGACTCTCTTGATTGAAGACTTGGGGGACTATTGTTTGTACCATACTTAAGGCCTCCGTATTTAGACCTCGTATAAATACTTGGGGGACTCAAATGTAATTATGTAATAAATGAAGGGGCAAATATGTAATAAGTGAGGATCCCTTATTCTATAAAAGGACTCCTCACTCTCCTCATTAAAGAAGCCAAGATTGAGGGCAAGGCTTAGGCCATAGAAAATGGGCTAGAGAGAAAATAAGCTAGAGAGCACACTGCCTCTAGCCTTCTTGTATATTCACCATTCAAAGTGAAACAATATCAACATCAGTGTGGATGTAGCCCAAACATTGGGGTGAACCACGATACATCTTGTGTTCCTTACTTTCTTGCAGATTCACGGTCGGATTTACGTTGTTCCAAGACCTCCCGGTTTTGTGCATCAACTCCGTCCGAATTGATTGCAGATACTGCATACTGGTTCTCTATAACTTTTTTCTGGTGAGGCCTTCTAGTTCCGAACTGCAGAAGCAAGAACCTTTGACACCACAAAGAAAAAAATTGAATAAATTCCGAATACAACAGTCTATTTGATAGTATTTTTTTAGAGTTGCTATTAGCGCACGCTGTAAAGAACTACTCTGCAATCTTAAGAAAATAGTGCATAATGATTATTTTGAAGTGGTGATAAATAATGGATCTTTTCTAAATGTACATTTACCTTAAAGATTCTTGTCAATGCGCTTCCGTAAGGACATTTGTGTCGATAAAATAGACTCCCACCGATGAAAATTGAAGGTGCCAAACTCAAGGCTATAATTGTTATAGTGAAGTTCCAATTCCAGCCTTTGTTTTCTTCCACCCAAATCATAGTACAGCTTAGGAGGCCTCCCAGGCATAGGGAAAAGAAAAACCAGTTGAAGTAGGAAGAGATAAGTCTCTGGTTGCTGTGATCAAGCTGATCAGCACCGTGTGCAGGTAAGGAGGCATTGATTCCACCTACATCGGCAGCAACGACATCTGAATGGCTGCTTGAGACCGAGAAGGCCTAGCACCCGATGCTGGTCGAAATTGTGGGTACTGAGCTTGGATCCTCAGTAAAATTTATCCCCACATGGTACAAGTTTCTTGTTCCATTTAACGTTGCATACAAATATATACGTCTCACTTCATGTCAATTTTTCTTGAATCTTTAAGTTCATCACATTTTCTATTAGCTTACCCTATTAAATAGACTAAAATTACTCACAATTTAAAAATTCTTTTTGATATATTTGACAGCAAAGACAAATTAATACGTTTAAGAAAATTAGGGGCTCATAACTAAATTAAAAGTCCGTGGCGGCAATGGGAAAAATAAAATTTTTTACTCCCAAGAAAAAGGGGGACAAATAAAACCAGCAACTCTATGGTAGAAAAGATGATGAAGGTTGTGAATCTTGTGAAAGAGTGAAATTGGTCACCATATTTGCTGCTGTAGCATCTGGGTAATGCATTGACAACAAGAAGTATCCAACGAAGTTACTGGCATTGGCTAAGAACACCATGTTTGTCAACACCTCCACAACTGCACACGAAATTCATTCCCAAAATTACTCCAATATCATACAACATTTACCCTCTTGCATATCAAACTTAGATCTTATTTTTTGTTTAAAAAAATTATGAATACAGCTAAATTACTTCATATTCATTAATTTCAAAAAGAAAAATTGGATTAGAAAAAGGGTAATATTAGGGAGACCAAATTTCGTAAACAAATGATGTGGGCGATGTTGTTAATTATTTAACATGCTTATTACCTATTGGTAACATATCATTTGATTTGTAAATTTGGTTTAAAAATTTAGTCTCACTACCATTATTCTTAGAAAAATACCAAACAACCCCTTAATTGTAATGACACACCCCGACCGAGATCGAGACATGCTGGCTGTTACATGAGAGTGATGTAGCCATGTGCACAGTGCAGAAGAAATAATGATAGCAGAGAATACGAATAAATGAAAACTAACTCATAAGAGTACTAGTTAAGATAAGTGCTGGAATATGTGTGAATACACAATCAGAGCGTAAGTAGCCTAAGTTCAGTCCAGAAAACAAGTGCTAATTAAACGACACCCAAAGATGCCCTACATTTGTGATAGTCTGTCAGAACCTCCACTAATCCTCGTGAGCCACCAACGAACAAGTTTATCTAAAATCTGGAGGGGCGCAAAACAGAAAGTGTGAGTGGGCAAAAATAAAGCTTTTCAAAACCATTTCATTTATCAAATACTCTAACCTCTTGTCGTAAAACATGTATAACTTTCCCAGAAATGGAATATAAACATATATATATATATATATATATTCAAATCATGCTTCACATATCCATATTCATAAGTATACCATGTCAAAATATAAAACAGAATAAGTAACTTAAGTGAAAATAAATTCATGGAAAAATAACATATTAGCCGAAACCCCTGTAGAGGTTTGTACGGCTGAATTCATAGCTCATGAGTCAATCTAACCGGAGTCACTGTAAGTGACCTATACGGCATTACACTGCACATGAGTCGGAACCACTGCAAGGGTCTGTACGACAAGACTGGGTGTAATATAGTTACGCTCAATGCTATGCTCTCATGATAGCTGTGCGATAAGTCGCTAGTCACCTATGAGTTGGAATCACCTATGATGGTCTGTATGACAAGATTGTGCATCTAAATTGGATCCAATGTGAGCATATGGTGTGGGAGATGACATTATATACAGGCTTGTGCCATATCTCTGGCTAAATCACTAACATCGGGGTGCAGGTTTATGAGCTCAATGTTTCTCAATTAATCACAACCATTATCCACATTCACAATTCATAAACTCACATGGGGCTTACCTGAGTGTCCACAACACCACAATTATATATATATATATATATATGCAAACGTCATATGCATATTCTAAATATAAAACATTTGGCATGGCAATTTAAATCATACTCATTTAAATGCATTTTCTGAGAAAGATACCAAGCATATACATATATACTTAAAACCAAAAGCCTACTCACTGGTATGTCGAAGGGTCGTAGCCCCCGAGTTGCCATTGACTGCGCTCGTCCTCGGGATAGATCTCACCTATATGCGAAATAACTGAATAAACGTTATTTAAAGCACATAACCAATAATAGCTAATAACTTCTCATACATCGCTCAAATGAGGTATATAAATATACCATCGTGACCTACACAACTACACGAACACACCCAAATTTTTAAAATAATTTTTAGAGCCCTCATGCGCCGTCACGTGCCGGCAAGGGCATGGCTCTACTCGCGGCCACGCGCAGGGAATCCTAACGGAATCCCTAACTGCCGTTAGGTATATTTCTTTAAAAATCAACAAAATCGTTAAATCTACCTGACGGCGTTAGAATATTCCGTCAAGTTTGATGGAATATTCTCTGTCTTCTACCTTCGAACTCCGGCGACCGTCGTCGTCGCCGGAAACTGGAAAAATCCTAAAATCCTTATAACTTCGTCATTTTTGCACCAAAACTCATGAAACTTACACCAAATTGAAGCTTACAACGATTAGAACACATTCTTACCAATTTCAAGCTCCAAAAATCACGAAATCTTGCTGGAGAAGGCACGATAATTCCGGCCAAATTTCAAACTCACCAAACTCGACTTCCCGACGTCCAATTTGCTTGGTTTTTCTTCTCTGAGCTTCGTAAAAATGTCCTAAAGCTTCCTATGAGCTTAAAATCCCTTGAAACATCCATAATTATGACCACATGAACAATACTCAAATCGGGGGTGATGGTTTCTCGGGGTTTTTGAGGGTTTCACGATCTAAAAATGGCATATATGAACTCAGAGACTTGCAAGGAGTTCGAATCTTACATTTTGACGTCGATCCGTGTGTGTATGGTTGGTTCCAAAGTTCGTCCGTACAATTGTACGAATTTTCAAAAAAATACGTGAGGGAGGAGAGAGAGTGCACTGGAGAGTGAGTGAGTGTGTGTGTGGTACACGTGGGTCACTAACCAAAACCAAAGAAAATACCATCTAAGTCCTAATTGGTTCCAAAATAATAGGACCTAGCACTAATTGGTCCAAATTCTAACCTACCACACTACCACACAAAACGTCCAAGGGTATATTTGACATTTCACGCCTAAAAATTAATATTTTGGGACGGGTTGTGACATGTAACATCCCACATCGCTTAGGGGATGGGATCCTGTAAGCTTAATATGTATATTCTCATCTTTACCTTGCACAAGGCCTTTTGGGAGCTCACTGACTTCGGATTTCATTAGAACTCCGAAGTTAAGCGAGTTCGGGCGAGATCAGTTCCTTGATGGGTTACTAGGAAGTTCTCGTGTGAGTTCTCAAAAACAAAATCATGAGGGCGTGGTTGGGGCCCAAAGCAGACAATATATAATGAAAAAAAGGTTTTTCTTTTCTGCAGAAGAGAAGAGTTGATTATAGTATACAATTTGGGTTGTGTTAGGTCACCATGATCTGCACACGAAATTTATGAATTCATGAACTTACCGATGTTAGGAAAAATTACCAAAACAATGAAAATTTGGGGACAGATAAATGAGAAGAAAAACTAATAGGGTAGTTTAGAGAGGTTTGGTGAAAATTTAAATTAATTTGCATGTGTGGGGATGAGGCTAAAGGCTATGCAGTCACTTGTATCCCAATCCTGCATGAGTAATGTTACATTGCATGGAAAATTAATTAAAGTTTTGTCAAAGGCAGTTAGAGAGAACCGAATTCCTGAGAATTGTGCATTCAATGCCTGAATATCGGTTTGCTTGACACCTTGAATGTCAAAGGTTTAGCTTGAAAAGAGCTAGGCATTTGCACTGAAGAGTTTGGACCCGGCTTCTCTACCCTCCCACTTTCCATACACTTCCATCCTCTCCTATTTTATGCGGTTATGGTTAAGCTACGTCAACATTTTATATAAGAAGTGGGAGGGCAGAGAAGCCAGGTCCGAAGAGTTTTTGGGGTACTTTTGTTGCATTTGACACATACTAAGTTTTGGGGGTAATTTTAATGGAGAAATCCAAAAGAATGTGCTTTTCAAATTTACAAGATACAACATATTGCATGTGATCCAATATTCTAGTGGATAGGGTGTTAGGTTTTTACTCATTCGTCTTAGGTTCAGAACTCCACACTCTTCTAAATTATTGTTATATTTTCGAACCCTTTCCTCTCTCTTAGTAATAATAATTTTCTAAGAAAAAGATAACAATTTATTCAAAATGATTGAATTTTTATGGATTTAATGGGTTTATAAATCCATGGATTTTTATGGAGTTAAATTTATTTGAGAGATTTTAATGGGTTTATAATCCATGGATTTTTATGGAGTTAAATTTATTTGAGAGATTTTAATGGGTTTATAAATCCATGAATTTTTATGGAGTTAAATTTATTTGTAAAGATTTCATATAAAATTTTGATTCAATTCCCTCAAAATGTCATGGGGAGGGGTGTGATTTGGGGATGCTTATAATACACTACGAAATTTCTCCAATTCCCTCTAAATTCTCAACTTTTTCATATCTTTTAAAATCAAATTTTAATTGAATACACCTAGAATGTTATAAACTTCTTTAAAATCATAATTGAATACCCCTTGATTTCTAGCGATTTTAATAAACTATCTTAAAATCCTGATTGAATATACGTTGAATTTTAGTGAATCCCTTAAAATTCTAATAAAATACCCCTAGATTCATTAAAAGAATTAAAGTCTATTAAAATCCCGATTGAATAGATCCCTTAATGCTATAGTTTTGGAATGATCATGTACAATGAGTTAATCGTTTGAAATCATGTACGGTGAGTCCTTTTTCTTGTAAGCTTTTCTTACATAAATGCAAACCATTGACTTACATTGACTTTGAATCAATTCTGATACAATTATTATATATCTTATTTGAGACAATACTAATAGTCTTGTAACGTTTTTATAAAACCATTTTGTTTGGAAGGAAAATGATTTTCGTATATCTCTTTTTTACCATGTATATATGTACAAGTATGTTTATTTTTTGTTTATAAATTAAATAAATCAAAAGAGAATTAAAGGATAAAAATAAATAGTGGTAGTGTGGATGCAAATTTCTTCCTCCTCGATCTTGGACGATTTTGCACCTACAAAACAATTAACACCTTAGGTTAAGGCCAAGAGCCTCACGCGCCCACGATGAATGGGGGGGCTTTGGCCGAAGAACCTCCGATGCCAAAGTTAGAATTTAGAGAGAAAGAGTGTTTAGAGAATTTTGGGATTTTTGCCAAAAAGTTGGAATTAGCTTTTTGGTGAGAATGGGAGTATATTTATAGGGATAGGAGGTGGCTAGGGTTTTTAGGTTTAATTTAGGTTTAATTAGCCAATTTATTTGGCTATTAAACATAAGATGAATGTTTTGGTGGTTTTTGAATTTATTGGGTAATAAAAAGGAAGAAATGGTGAAAAAGGTAGAAAAAAGTGATGGATTAGGTTTTGAAATGGGGATAGCCGGCCATGTGGTGTTTTAGGGTTGAATTGGATGTATTTTGTAGTTATTTGGATATAATGGATGGTTTAATTGACAATTAATGGGTTAATTAGGCAATAAACCCATTAATTAGCCAATTAACATAATTTAAAAGGAATGTGTTTGGGAATTACCTTGTAGAAAGGATTTGATGAGATGGACTTTGAATTGTTACCTATTTTGGGCACTTTTGTCTTGGTTGAAAGAGGGTTGCCCGCTGCTTGCGCGTAGGAACCTCGTTGTACTGCAAGGGTATTTTTGTCATTTTTGTCCAAAAATCCACGTGTCGCCCTGTGAATATTTTTGGCTCCACAGGTAGCATGTGGCGGATTGTTTTGGTATTTAGGGTCTTCATCTTCAACCATAGACGGAGCCACCTTGGGCCCAGCCGTGGTGAATGCCCCCACTTAGTTTTTTTGGTTGAGAAAAAAAAAAGTACTCTTTCAATTGCTTATGATATTAGTATTAACTTTTTCATGTGCTACTACCATTGTTGAAAAAACACTTCTAGTCATGAAATTTATGAAGATATATTGAGAAATTGGATGAGATATCAATGAATGAATGATAACATGATTATTTTTATAGATAGAGGTATTTGATGGTATTGGTAATGAAGTTGTCATGCAACGCTTTCAGTAAATGAAAACGCGTCGAGAGATATTGTAATATGTTGTATGAAAAACCTTATGAATTAAGAGCGCGTTTACTAATCCGTAATCAGATTGAGAGAAATTGAATTGAGAAGGAATTGGAATGAGGTGGAAGTAGAATTAGATTCCTATTGAAGTTGTTTGCTAAAACTGTTTGAATCGGAGATGAATGATGTTGGTTCTATATAAGTTGTTTACTAATTCACTGGAATAGGAATTAAAACTAGCTTGATTACTAAATTGCCCTTATATAAATAAATTATTTTTATACTAATTAATCAAACTAATTTATTGTTCAAAACAAAAATCAAACTAATTTTATATACAAAATTTATCTATATAAAAAATAATTAAAGAGGTTTCTTTTTGTTAGAAGATGATTATTTCCATTTGCCCCCCACCACCCAAAATCCCTTGTGTCTGTCTTCCCCACACCGCCCCTTTCATCCTGAAGGCTTTATTTTCCCAGCCGCAATAGCCTCCCATATCCCTGCCTTTCCTTGCTCCACCCCACTTACCCTTATAGCCACCACCCCTAGCCCCAATTTATGAAACCCTCCATCTCTCTCCTCTATGCCCTCCCTCTCCGCTTTCTCGGTTACTCTGGCCATGGTTCGCAACGCCATTCAATCCAACGTGTTTGTGAAAGCCGATGAGTGGGTCGAAGTTCAGAGATCTCATATATGCTTCCTGAGCCGGTCGCCTACTATCGATTATAGTGGGTATGATGCTTGGCTGATGGGTTCTTTTTGTTTTCTTTTCATTTTCTCTAAATTTGAAATTTTGATTGTTGAAGTCGAGGATGGGTGTGATAATTCTACATATGGAGGCTGTTATATTTGTGGTGGTTTTAGGAGGGGTTGTGATAGGCATGGTGGGTACGGTTGTTATTGTGTATGTTCATGGTGGTAGATTTGGGAAAGACAGAAGATTGAGAGGGTGGTCTAGGGTTGAAGAGGAGTTGGAAGGTAAAACTACAAGGAGCGTTTCGGAATTAGAAAAAAAACTATGGTGGTAATATTGGTACAAAAGGTGGATTCCTAATAGGCTTCATTTCGAGGAATTCAATTACCACCTCAATGTCGAGAATTGAATTCTGGGAGTTTGGGGAGTCTGATTCCCTATATTAAGTGGGTCCCACACACTCTTTTCATTCCCAAGTGTTACTAAACGGAGGAATGATCAGGAATGGGGAATGACTCACATTCCGCCATATCCATTCCCTATATGTAAACACGCCCTAATATATAAGTGTTTTGTTTAGTACATTTTTGAAAATTTTAATTTGTGACTTTGCTGTTTGAGGCCCCCATCCATGCAGATCTCTGGCTTTGTCTATTTCTTCAACCCACTGCGTTTCGAGTTCAAACTCTTCTCTCCTCCTGTGGTAAATTAATGTAGAATATCGCTTATAATAAAAATAAATAAACAATATCATGCATAGAGAGAAATCAAATGTGTAAATCATTTTTATTTTTTAAAACTTCTTTAAAGATGAGTACAAGATAATGATTTTTCGGTTTTAAGATATGATGAGAATACGTTTGGCAGTATAATTCTAAAACAGTTCTCTAGAACAAGAACAGTACATGTTTGTCACTAAAATAAAAATAAAAGGATACACAACAAAAAAAATTCATATAGAAGTAAGATTTGACAAATTATTCTTTTCAATTTAAATAAGGAGTTTGCAGTAGAATTTCATCACCATCTTATATATATATGTAAATCAATTTTTCATATAGGATATTAATGATAAGCCATGTAAAAGTGATTAACAGTCTAGCACCAAAAACAAAAATGATGATTAATAGTTCACGTATGTGAAAGTTATATATATAATTGTAAATTTGATGAGCTCTCGAACCAAATTAAAATTCTTAATTTGATTAATGGTCCATGTAGAAGCAGTACAAACCATGCATGGTGATAAAAGAAAATAGTAGAAAAGTTACTCAACTACAATAAGCCAGAATGTTGGATCGAGAAACTCTAGCGGATGCTCTGAACAAGTTTGAAAGAGACGCAAATGGAAGACCTAGCAGAGTAAAACTCTCCCTCATACCTTCGAAGTTTTTTCTTTAAAGACCTAGCACAGACAGAAGGCGGGTTGGGTAGACGGCGGGAGGATTATTTGTGGAGGTGAGGAGGAGTTGAGAATGTTGTGAGGAAGAAGGTGGGTAATTCTATGATCTTTTTGCGGCTGAGTTTTTAAACTAGTAAAATCCTTAGCGTTTTTTCGTTTCTGCAAAAACAGAAACCGCGTGGAAAAGCAGTATATGTCGAACGGGCGGTAAGAGTTTCTTTCCTTTTAGTAGAGACTGAACTTTCTCAATTAAATGATAGTGGTCTAGAAACTCTTATTTCTGGACAACACCAAAACGTTTATGATTCATATCACATCATTTCCTCCTAGCCATTCTTTTACCAAACTTATCCACTCACTGAATTTGATAAATATACCGGCCACTGAGCTTTAGGAAGTACCCCGCTGATACTGAGCACCATTAATTCATGGTAATTAAAGTTTAGAAATTTTGATCTATAAACAGAATAGGTCAGTCTCACTCGAAAGATAAGACTTTATTAAAATTAAGTACGAACGGTTACATTTACATCTTGTGCTAAAATATGTCGAATGACTCAATCTTAATGTTGAAATTTGAAAATATTATATATAACTTTTTTTTTATACAACATGATATATTTACACTAAGGGAGTGAGAATAATAAATTAAGGTATGCATTGAGCTTATAATTTAAAAAGGGGAAGAGATCTCTCCGGATCTCTTCCTCCAAAGCCATCAAGTGATCCGGACCCTTGAAATTTAATTCAACGGCCACAAATTGTACTTTTAAAAGTTTTTATTAACTTATATGTTTTTAGCCGTTTGATCAAATTTCAAAGGTTCGAATCACTTGATCCTTGGACTTTGGAGGGAGAGATCCAAAGAGGATCTCTTTCCTTTAACAACCACCTCCACTCAGATGTTGTGTAACGTTCAGTCCTCGTTGACCAGAAATGGCCTTGTCAACTCGGTTGCTCTCTACTGAATCTTTTGCTGTTGGTTCGGTCGTCACAATACAACCGAATATTCGTAGTCTATTTGTACGTTGTCTTCCAAACGATGTGAGTCCGAATGATCCTTGATCCTACCAAGAAAAGATATACAGGAAGAAATGTCAAAACTATGATGCAAATCCATTTTTAAGGGTTGATATGGCAAATCGATATATTCTAAAACTCCACTAGTGTGAAATGAGTCCAAAATAAAGAGTGAAATGTGCAAAACATTTGGATTCTAAAAAAGTCTTATTGTCTTACATACAAGATACATAAGAGTTTCGCAATGTCTAGAAACTCTCCACACAAACTCTAAGCATTCTTATTTTTAGAGTCTCCCTTATCCCTCAATACCTTTTAGCCCAATACATGTAATTAAGAAAATTGACGGTACTAAGAATGGCAAGAAGTGTGCAAAACAAATCCGAGCGCAAAAGATTCAAATCATCTCCTCCAAAGACATTCTCTACCAAATTTTCCACTCACTGAATTTGCTATGGACACCAGAACTGAGCTTAAAAAGTACCCCAAAGATATTGAACACCATGACAATGCAGTGCACATACTCCTCATGGTACTTGGCGTCTGAGTAAAAGAACTCGAACATTCCTCCAAAAGTAGGCACGTCACAAACTCCTAACAAGAGGAATTGCCATCCTAGCCAAAACACAGGCAATATGACATCATTGTGAGCCGCTTCGCACCTCTTAGCTTCAACTAGGGCAGCTATAGACATTGACCCAGAAGCCAGTGTTAGCCCCAGTCCGATCCTCCAAAGGGGTTGGAACATGTGACTTTTGTGTTGGAACCGTTCGCATAGGGAATTGAAGCAAGCATGATGGAGAGTGGGCGTACGTTTAAGGACTCAGTGGTGAATTCAAAGTTGTGTAAATTTCTGTTCATTTTGCTCCCTTGTACCACTGAGAATGATTCAACTTGGGCTAGGCAGCAATTCATCATGATTGTGCTTGCAAAGATGGGAACCTGAGAAATTATTATGTACTAATAATAGGACTGTCCATCTGCTCTGTTCGGATTGATTGATACTGCACGCTGGTTCCCCACTCTTTTGTTCGATGAAGCTTTCCAGTTTCGAGCTGCATAAGTAAGTACCTTTCACAATTCACACATCCAAAAAAAAAAAAAAAAATTTCCAGTGGCATCTGTCTGCTTGATAATTGATACTACTATGTCTTCAAAAGTACTTTGTCTAATTTCAGTTTTACCTTGATGATTCGTGTTAATGAGTTCCCTGCAGTGGGACTTTGTGCCTATAAAACGGAGTCCCAATGATGAAAATGACTAGTGACAAACTCAAGGCTATAACTGTTATAAAAAAAGCTCCAATTCCAGCCTATGTGATCTTCCACCCAAACCATAACAGTGGAGCTTATGAGTCCCCCAAGGCATATGTCAAAGTTAAACCAATTGAAGAAGGCAGGGATGAGCCTCACATCGTTGTGATCAAGCTGATTAGCACCATGTGCACGTAAGGCAACATTGAATCCAGCTATACCAGCAGCAAATACATAGAGGCCAACTTATAGAATGGTTGTTTGAGACAGAGAAGGCTTCACTTTCACAGCTGGTTGTAAATGTGGGAATTGAGCTTGGATTGCCAGCAAGATTACTCCCTATAATTGGTACCGAAAAGCTCATTCAATTTCGTATTACATGCCTAGATGAAAACATGCCATGAAACATATAAATAGTTGAAAGAAAAGCATACCGCTAAGTTTATTGCACAGAAGATGATGAAGGTTGTGAAGCTTGTGAGGAGTGAGTCACGAATAAATCCTCCCACGATGGAGAGCAGAAAAGAGGTTCCCATGAAATTGGTCACCATATTTGCTGATGTAGCAGGTGAGTAATGCATTGACAACCAGAAGTATGAGACGAAGTCAATGGCATTGGATAAGAAAACCATGTTGATCAGCACCCCAACAACTGCAAACAAAAAACTAAGAACAAACTTCCTCATCATAGAACTACTTCTTACACCCTTACAAATCAAAGTTTCGTGGGATTTACAAATACCCACATTGTAAAGAAAGTTGAGGTTCCATCCTAACAATCTTTAGTTGTTGAAGATAAAAGTCATGCATTAAGTTCTTAAAAGATCTTGGATTGCATTTGTTGAAGAACATGAGAATCCCACATCGGAAAATTGACAAAACTAAATATGACATATTGAGTACGTTCCACCTTTTATTACATTGAGGCATTTTGTAACAAATTCTCACACATGTCTACTATGTAGGTGGTAATATGCAAGTTAAGAGACGATAATAGTGTGCTTAGTAGTGACTGATGAGTCAATGACCAACTTTACCATTATTTTTGAGTTAAAATAATCATTGTCTATTAGTTTTGAGTTGGATGTTCACATTCGAAGAGATTACTAATGTAGTTCATAAAAATTTAAACTTTACGTAGAGGGTTGGATAGGACTGAGATAAAGTACTCAATCTAATCTTTACTATTCTGATAAATTAAGGTCTCCGCAACTTGGTAAATTTAGAACTTACCACATGTAAGAGCAGCAGCTCTAATTCCTAAATATTTTTTGGGATTTGCCTCCTTTCCTCTCCAGTCAACAAACTGATCATCACTTTTTTTGTGAAAATCACTTCAGGAAAAATCTTTATTTATGCTTACGCAAAAACAAATAATCAAGTATACAAAAGAAAAAAAAAGCTGCACACATATCAAACTATGATTATCAAGATTGTAAAAATATCTTATTTCGAAATGAATGAGCCGAGGTACTTTCCTTACAAATTATTTTAAAGTCCTACGATCGTAAAATATAGATAACCCTAACATAACCAAACCAAGTAGATGTACAAAATAATAGATCTCGAGTCTCTACATTTAGCTATTGTGCATTTATCCGCATTCTGCTCTATCTCGATCATTCTAATAATCTAACAAGTTAAAATATGACACATCATCTATCATTAAATTTAATTAGTTTATTTTATTTTCTATTTTTCTATTTTTCTAAACAGACGTTAACCTAGTTCTACCGTTAATTTTTTGGGGACAATTAAAACAATAACCTTTGTCAATTAATGAAAAAAATTATGACTACCAAAAATCACATAAACTGATCCGAAGAATCATATCAAGCAAAACCCCAAAAAACGATATCTCTCTCTTTCTCTCTCTTTCTCTTAAGGATTAAGTTTGGATTATCTACCATTTTTTTTTTTTGGGTTTGAATATTCGGTTTGTGCTACCTCGGCTTTTTATACGTTTCCCAAAACTTTCGTGGGATTACATAACATGCAGTACAATCATAGTAGAACCTCAAACCAATCAAACCATTTTTTTGGGTTTTTCTTTTATGAGATTTGTAAGCTTTGTGACATATTTGCTAGGATGTTGAATCTCTTTTATTCTCGTAGTAAGTTTTAATGGATCTGTTGCAAATAGCAGCCAGCATGGTTTTGATGGTCTGCAATGTTAGGATTCAAGAGAGAGGATGATTGAAACTTCTGGAGAGAAAAAACTTAACGCAGTTAGAAAAATAATTAGAGTCCAAAAATAGAACAAAACTTCGTAAATTCTCTATTAACTTATGTATCACTTTATAAGTTATTAGATTATTTAAATGGTCGAAATATAATAAAATACGGTACATGTACAAATCATAAATAGAGAGATTCAGAATCTCAAAATAATATAGTCGGGACTTGCTCATCAAGGCAGTCGAACTGCCTTTGGTGCACGTAAAACTCGGATCATAATCAAATAATTGATGATGATTCTTGGAGGTAGTAAACATAAATAATTTATTGTTCAAAGAATCAAAGTATATATTTTGAGTTAAAACCAAATCTATTACAAATAATTGGAAAGTACTATGCTTCCTTCCTGAGTACCAAATATCTGTGTAAATACTAATTAACACAATTAAAGTGGTGAAGGCAAATGTGCATATAAAACGCAGATCAAGATGATCAGAAACCCTAAACAAGGGAGCTGGATTTTTTTTTAAACAAATCTGAAACCAAAAGTTTTCGATTTGGTATTAGACAATCGATGAGATATGATGAACCCTAGCTACAAGGTACTAGGTCTCAGTGCTCGTGCAACCAAAGAACAAATCAAACAAGCATACAGAAAATTGGCATTGAAGTATCACCCGGACAAACACACCAACTCCCCCCAAAACATGAAAGACGATGCCACCCTCAAGTTCAAAGAGGCCACTACGGCCTATGAGAACCTCATGAACAACAACAACTATAGCCCAGACCACCACAGCAACGATGACATTGACAACAATGACCAACACTGCGACAAAGAGAACGACAATGAAAAAAGTGACTGTAATCACCATCACTATGACGATGGTTACAACTATAGCCATCAACACTACTATAGTGACTATAGTGGCAGTGGTTATAACTACCATCGCTCTGATGACGATGACGGCTACATCAACAAGTATTACCATCCGTATGCCGACGATTTTGACTATAAACACCACTGTAGCAGCAATTACTATAGCCACGACCAAGACCACGGTTACAACTACAACCACCACCACTATATCATCCACGAGTATTATGATTACATCTTTAGCGGCCATCACTCTCGCTCCCATTGTCCTGATTACAGTTACTACAACAATAATGACAGTGGTAAATATTGTAACAAGACCAATATTGAAATCCTTGGACCCGAATTTTGGGGCGTTGATGTAGACCCTAAGCCTGCAAGCGGTATTGTGGTTTTCATAAAGTAGGGTTACTCTTCCACTTCCTAAATTTCTCCTTTGATCTTCTCAAGTTTTTTCTTCTGTTATTAAAATTTATTTGATGAATATTAACGTATATTCATTTTGAATAGATATTAACATTTTAAATTCAGTCTGAAATTGTTTCATTTTAATTTGTAGTTTTGTATAATGCAGTATGCTTATTACTGGGTTTCAGCGGACTGCATCATGGGTGCAGAAATGTTGGGTATGTTTCAGAATTTCTACTTTCGATCCTCTTCTCTTTCATCTTCGTATAAGAGATTTATGTTAAATTCTGAATCTATACCATCAATTATGCATGTGTTCATTTTTTTATTTTTTATTTTTTTTATTACATATGCATGTGTTCTTGTTACTTCACGAAAATATAATGATCTCTTTGTTTGGCAAGAGAACATTATGCATATTATACAAATCAAAACCTTAAACTGCACATAAACCATAAATATGGGACTGACACGTATAATTGGACTTATGTTGCTTATATGATGTGATTGAAAATAATATGCCTACATTGCCGATTTATGTCTAGTGCATACATGTAGTATTGCATCTGCAATTCTTTTTAATACGAACGATAGTGGTGTGGGAGAAAACGAACCTAGGACCTCATGTACATAGATGAATACTCTTAACCACTTGAGCTACGAGATTTTTGCTGATTTTCTTATTCTTTGGTTGGCATTTAGGGGTTCATTTGTATGACACTAGTCGCCAATGTTATAAGAGATTTCTATTTTGATCAAAATATATAACAGTCAATAGAAGAGATTTCAAGTCCGATAAAACAAACAGTAATTTTGTTAATTAACTCTAACTATCTTCAGACTTTCAATCTAACTAGCTAGATGAGTTTGTAATGCATAATGTAAGGCTTTCCATAATTTTCATGTTCTTTAAATTTTCTTAGCTAGTGTACTCTTGCGTTTTACCCGTTCGTCGTCACATTTGCAATTTACTTTCCA